ACTTGGACACAAAGCCTCGAAAGATTTCATAATTCTTGCATTGTATTTTTTATTTGATCAAATATACCAGTGGGCTCTTTTCGTAACAAATTAAACCTACCACATGACGTTACATTCTCACTTTGAAAATGTCGCATTTTGTTTGTTTTTTTAAACAAAGCTTATATAGAAGATGTGAAGACGATGACGGGGTAGATTCCCAGACGTTTTGTCGGCATCGTCAGTCAGTCTTGCCATTCTTGGCACCACACGACAACTCGTCAGAGAGACAATTGAAGCCAGCCGATCCTTTGAGCGAATGTGTGCTAAACAGTTGTGCTATCTCTCCTGTCCTTTCCAACATCCTCGTACCGAGTCTATGACTTGCTATGCTATAATCTCTTGTATACCAAACCACAAATGTTATGGTTCAACATTGAACCTAATCAAAGCAAGTAGTACCACAACATTTGTGGGTTGGCACACAAGAGACTATGGCATAACAATTCATAGACTTGGTATTCCGGATAGAGACAGGATAGACGCGGTGGAGACTGGAGCTCGTTGGCTTACAGTAGGCCTGTTTTGCCAGAAACATGGTCCATGAAGCAAAGGCTTGACGTTGAGATTTATTCAGAGGCTTTAGTCTCGAGTTAATCTCCCAATGACAGAGTGTGGGACATAACGCCTCTTGGAGCACTGATGGGGTGGCAGGGGTCGAGTGAAATAGTTGAACCAGGGAGAGAGCAGACGTATCCTACGGGGCAAGAGGGAGACTCTGATAAGGCCTAGGGAAGGAGGACTGTGTAATAATATGGCAGATTATAATCAACACTCCCAGGACAAGGGTGAAGGGGGTGTGAGTGCCAATGTGGAAGGTTCTCATGAAAGCCGCTCAAAAGAGCATACGACACTACATTTAAATAAGCGAGGAAAAATAATAACAATTTAAGAAAATGGTGATAGTGAAGGCATGATACGATGATATAGGAGAGATGAATGGCCAAGGACGGAAGAGAGCACAACTGTTTAGCACACGTTTGGTCAAAGAATCTGCTTCACTTGTCTCTTTGACGAGTTGTGGTTTAAGGCTAAGAATGGCAAAGCTTACTGACGATGCGGGGAAACGTCTGGTGATGTACCACGTCCACGGTCCGACTTTGGAAATGATCATGCATTCCGGACAATGTAAATTACTCTCCGTCTTCCTGCCAATATGACCAAGTTGCAAAAACCAGATCAAATAACTTCAATGAGTAAAAATGGTTTGGCCTCGTTGTCGCAACTTGGTCTTGTCGTCAGGGCTACTTAATAGAACGCACCTAGTCCGAAGTTGTCTGCCATAGTAGTCATGATTCACTTCACAGCATCACACAATGGACTTGGTACATTCTCAAACGTTTCGCCGGCATCATCAGTGAGTTTTGCCATTCGCCGCACCAACCTACGAGCTGGTCAAAGAGACAAGCGAAATGTTTGAGAATGTACCAAGTCGACTGCCTGATGCTGGGAATCATGACAACTAATTTGGCAGACGACTTTGGACAGAATGCGTTCTACTAAGTCGCCCTGACAACAAGACCAAATTGCGAAAACGAGGTCAACGCATTTTTATATCTTCAATGAGTAAAGTTGTTTGACCTTGTGTTCGCTACTTGGTCATGTTGGCAGGAGGACGGAGAGCAATTTACATTGTCCGGAGTGCATAGTACGCATGATCATTTTCAGTCGGACCGTGGACTTGGTACATTCGCAGACGTTTCGCCGGCATCGTCAACGAGTCTTGCCATTCGCAGTACGACACTACAACTTGCAAGGAGACAAGTGAAGCCGATCCTTGCCCAATTGTCTGCTAAACAATCGTGCTATCTCTCCTGTTCTTGAATATTCACCTTTCCTATGTCCTCGTATCACCCCTTCACTCTCGCAATTTCTTACTTCAATGCTACATGGTGTGTCCCTTTTTTTTATAGCACATGTCACAATAACTCTCTAAACTCCACGCTTGGTTTCTCACCCATCGCCCCGCAATCCCCTTCCCGCAGGTTTTATCACAGTCTCCCTCTAGCTCCGTAGGATCCACCTTCTATCTTCCTGGTTGGGTACCCTATCGGGGCTACTCGAAGCGTTGTTTCCCACACAGTCTCAAGCCTTTATTGACGCATCTCTCGCTCCGCCGAGTAGGCCTCTAACAATCGCGATTCGCAAGCTGGACAGGAGAGTAACTTGGAGCTAAAGAGCCCGCACAATTCTCATCGTCAGGCCAACTAGCTCTAGTCTCCGCCGCATCTATCCTGCT